CCCTACTCCTCCCTGCCTCACAAACCCCATCTCTCCCTTCATTTCATCCCCAAATTCTTGAGCCAAGATCTTGCTTTGTGTGGTTTGGCTGCAAGTGCATTCCCTCTCCCTCATCATCCTCCAAGCTGATGTGAAGGTTGTTCCACATGAAGTTTTTACTTACTTCTCTCAGGAGCTACTACTTAACCAGTTTCCAACCTATCCTCTCCAACCTAAAGGTAGATTTCTGTGCCCCAATAACCTGATACAATACTATCCTGTTTCCAGGTTCTCCATCCTAAGAGCTAAGCTGTTCCTTTACATTAGGATTTTTCGAAAAGAAAATGGCCAAACTGTTGCAAGCTCCTCCCAAGTTCCTTCCCCCAGAGTGGCATATTGCAAACAAGACACAGTATTCCAGTGCGGAGAGCCAGAGATCCAGGTCAGAGCGACTCGTAGCTGAGAGCCAGAGGCTGGTGGATGAAATTGAAAAAACAACTCAGAAAACCCAAAGTGATGTTAACAAGAAAATAGGTGATCATGTGGCTTTGTTATTTTATTGGAATGATTAAGGGAGACTCTCAAAAGTAGGAAATATTAAATAGTGACATGTTTTAATGGCTTATTTTGCCTTCCCTTAGAAAAATGGGAATGCATTTCCAAATCCTTTTAAAAATACTTTGTGATAGAGTTTATAGTTTAATAACTAAACAGTTTCAGGTATCTGTTAGATGTAGGGAGACAAATTTAGCCCTGGTATAATATTTACTAAGGCATTATTGTTAAGGCAAGAGCCTAGACTGAGTAATGGGGAAAAAAAGCGTATCTTGGCTCAGACTGTGTAAACGCATTACATTGACTCACCTGGGAATGGTGTTGCTCCACCATGTTCTGTGGGGAGTTGAGAGAGAGAGATTGTGCCTCAGGGTGCCGGAGGTAAGGTGAACATACTGTAGTTATGATTTTCTCTTGAGAATCCTCTTTCTTACCCATGTATCTCTGCAAAGGCCAGTTACCATCTGGCCTTTTGAAAACATTATTATTTTTAGTACAGTTGTACCTAGAAGCACTCAGTGGGACCAGAACTGTACATAGATGTAGCAAGAGGCAGTTTTCAAAAAAAGCTTACAGTCTGATAAGATAAGACAAAGGAAGTATCATTATTCTCTCCTCCATTTCACAAATAAAAAGCTAAGGCACAGAGAAATCAAGGAATTTGCCCACGGTCACCCAGTAAGTCTGTGGCAGGGACAGAAATTGAATCTACATCAACTAGTTCTCACAGTGCAGTGCTTTAGCAAAACCATTGCAGTACATTAGCATATAGAGCTACGTACACATTGCTTTTGTTGCTTGAGTCCTTTTCTACCCATGGCTAAAGCTGGTCCATGAGATTCTAGTACAGTGGTCCCCAACGTTTTGGGGCTGCCAGGCACCTGGGGGCGGGGCCACTCATGTGCCACGCATATGGGGGCGGTGCCGCTCATGGGCCACGTGCCTGGGGGCGGGGCCAAGCATGCGCTGCATGCCCGGGGCCAGCACCGGCATGTGCCGTGACCCCAGGCAGGGGCCGCCCAGGTGCTGCATGCACGGGGCTAGCACCGGCATGCGCCGTGACCCCGGGGCAGTGGCCGCCCATGTGCCCGGGGCTGGCACCTGCCACACGCCCGGGGATGGGGCCAGCCCAGATTGCTCCGCGGGCACACATAAATGGCCCGGCGGGCCCCCCGGCGCCCCCGGGCACCGCATTGGGGACAACTGTTCTAGTATATGCCTGGCTTTATTTATAATCAATGTTCAATCTCTCTACATTCCACAGAACAGAGACTTGATGAAATAAAATTCTGGAAGCAAGAATTAGATGACAAACTAGAGCAGGTTGTTAATGAGACAGAAGCGCTGTTGGCTTTTAAGACAAGGCTAGAGAAGGCATTGGAAAGCTGTAAAGAGCCGCTATTCATTGCTCAAGAGTGTCTCTTGAACAGGTAAGGGTAATAGCAAAACAACAACAATAATTAAGGGGAGCAGGGTAAGAAAATTAATGATTAAGCTGTTAAAAAAACAAAAGCCCTGTTCCGGATAAATGATATGTTTGTGTTTGTGAAGTTTGATATGTAAGCCCCAATCCTGCAAACTGCAAAGCCCCAGCAGGCCCTGCTAAAGAGGGAGTTTCTAAAAGGAATCTATGGGAGGCAGGTGCTGAGCTCTCATTGACAACCAATGGGATTTGCGGATTTTGCTCTCCTTGGAATTCTCAGCCAGAATCAGCTGATTTGCAGGTGGTCTGCACTTCGCAGATTTAGTCTCTGCATGAGAGAGAGAGACACACACAGAGAAGGAAGTGCTTTGTATCCTGTGCTCCTGTAGGGGAGATCTGGGTTGAATTCCCAGCCTCAGTCTCCCATGTGACTCCAGGCCAGCGGGAGTTTGAGAGTGCTGTGGATACAGTGCTTTCCAGCCTTTGTTAGGAAAATAAGGGAAATCCAAGAGCATCCCTGTGGGCTGAGTGGAGAGAGCAGTGCTAATAGGTTTTGGGTGCACTGCAGCCTTTCTCTTATGGAAGGATGGTGACAATTAAGAGGGTCATCAAGTTTCAGAGTGTAAAGTGGATGAAACTAGATTCTAGGACTTTGATTGCAGGCATGGAGGACTGCCCTCTGCGCTCAGGTCCTGATGGATCCCCACCAATGTTCAGTAGCCACAGCTCTCAACAGCTTCAATGGGAATTAAGGCTGCTCAGTACCTTTCAGGATGAGGCCTTGCATAAACAAGTGTGTAAGGAGCATGATCCATATATGAAAGCAAAATAAAGAAGTCACTGAGTCCAGTTCTTTTTCTTTCATTGCATCTAAATGAGTGAGGAAAAGCTGCAGGCCCAAGCCATTTGGCATGTGTTCTGAGCAGAAATCCTCGCTTTATTCATCTTTTTAAAACTTTTTGTAAAATAAGCTAGCAAAGAGAAAAGCAGCATTATTCCTGACCCTGCGAATGAAGGGCTTGATTGTCTTCTTGGTTGCCTTCCACAGAGTCACTCCTGATTTATACTAATGTAAACCAGAGGCGAATCAAGTCCTAAGGAGTAGAAAGGTGGCTATTTCCAATCACTTATAGCAAGGGCAAGGGCTTTGAGTCTCTGTAGCTGCAATACTCAAATGGCTGACACAGAGTAATGACTCCCTTCTCTTTTTCTTAGGCAGAGGCGAGTTGGGATTGATTTGGTCCATGACGAAGTGGAACGGGAACTGATAAAGGAAGTTGAAGTGCTCCAGGGGGTTATGGCTTTACTGGAGCGCACACTGGAACAAACCAATGAGCAAATTAGGTATCAAGGAGTCAACAGAAGAGCAAACCACCAGATAGTTCAGATTGGAGAATGCTTCTGGAGAATATGGTTGGATAGGTAGCGTCAGATCCACAGCAGTGCTAAGCAGCTGCTGAAATCAGGGGAGCTGCAGGCGTTAGTATTTCCTAGACCTATACCATGCCATTCAATTATTAGCAACACTGATTTCAGTGGAGAGTTTTGTTTAGACACTCATGGGATGGTATAGCCCTGTTGATTTCCAGGGCCTCTGTCTTGGTCTCACAAACCATTGAAGCCAGCGGGAGTTTTTCCATTGACTTCGGTGGCAGCTGCTGCTGTGTGCCTTAGTTTTTTACAACTTGTAACACAGTATTGCCTATTTATCTGATCCTATCATCAGTCGGCGTGGATGTCAGTGGGATTTCTGAGTGCCAGTGGAGGGCAGAATTTGGCCCTTTAATGACGCTTTACCTCCATTAAAGAGAGAAGGAGATAATTATTTTGTTAGGTTTCAGATTAATAGAGTCTAATTGTTTTTCCCCTGAGGCTAAACCGTTCGGCTAAATACAATCTGGAAATGGATCTGAAAGACAAGTTCGCTGCCTTGACAATCGATAACTATTGTTCCAGTTTGACAAACAATACAGCTGATATAAGATATGCTAGAAATGTAGTGAAAGTTGAAGGAAAGTAAGTGGTTATTTCCCTAGCTTCACAACTTATAGTAATAGAGATATGATATAAATTGTGCCTGTAATACAAGGTCTAAAATACCCTCTCATTTAAAATAAGGTTCTCTCTCTCAGATCTGTACTGCTGCCCATGACTATAGTATCTGAGTGCCTTTCCTGTAAAATCAATAGTAATGATGAAGTTCCTAATGGTCTGTAGTTTTGTTGAATGGTTCTGATGTTAAGTGTTTATGAAAACAAAACTCCATACCCGGTTTCCAATGTGGAAACCAACAATGAATTTACTAATATAACTTCCAGTTCCACATTTTAATAACTGCACAGCATGGTCCAATAGCTTGGCAACTGGAGTAAAATTTGAAAGATCTCAGTTCAGTTTCCAGCTCTTTTTTTAATCTGCTGTATGACATTGGCAAGTTGCTTCTTCTGTTTCCCTTTTTCTATGTGTTTGCACAGTGGAGCCTAACGCTGGTTGTGGCAAATGATTATAATTATAATGATGCTTAATAGTAATAAATGTAATAATAAACAATAATAATACTGCTTCTTTTGTATTCATAGAGAACTGCTGTCATTATGCACATTTATGAATGCACAAAGAGGGCTGAAGATACATAAAGAGACCTTGTTTATTTTATTATAGGTCAGTGAGCCCTGAAGACTGGGTAGATTTCTCGAATGCAAATGTTGAAAAGGCTGACAAGCAGAGGAACAACTCTTTGGCGCTCAGGGCCTTGATTGACCGAATCTTATCCCAGACGGCAGGTGACATGCGCAAGCAGTGCGAGACGGTGAACATTGCTTTTAAGAATAGGGTGAAGGAGACAAAAGATGCAAAGAACAAACTAGAGATGCATCTCGCTAAGGTAAGTACTAGAGGACAGTCAGCAGACATTTAGGAGGAAATAGGAAAGGGACATCTGCCAGATCCATTGATTCAATTGAGCTATTGTGCCTTAAGAATTCTAACTTTGCAGTTTTAAGCTGGACAAAGCCCAGTGCTTTTTTCATTTGCATAGCTAACATGCCATTCACTTTTCCATTTCCAGTGGTGCCAATACTTATGCCGGCATGTGCCACAAAGCACAGGAAAGCTTAGAGGCTTTTGATGGCCACATAGTGCTACATATTAGATAGCGGATTGAACGGGGTGGCGCCCCTCCACCTCCGTCCATCCCTCAGTGTTCCCTGCCGTCTCTGCAGTGCTGAGACAGTTGCGATTTCAATCCCCCGTAGTCGGGAGGGGAGAAAGGGGGGCCCGGGCCCTCCCTTTCTCCCAGACCCCAGCCCAGGGCCCTAGGGTCAGGATCAGTTCGTCCTGCCCTGCTGGGGGGGGGAGGGGTGCTGGCCCGCAACTCACCAGCACGCCGGCTCCTTGCCCTGCCCTGGGCTACTTCCTATCTCCTCCCGCTGGTCACCCTCGTCTCTCCCAGCCTCCGGCTCGTCTCCGGGTGTCCGAACCCTCCGCTGCTCACCCCGCTTCGCTCCCCCCCCACTGCTCTCCACCTTCCTCCTCCTGCTCTCCACCTTCCTCCCTCCCACCGGAGTCAGCCAGCTTTTTGAAACTCCCACTGCTCTCCACCTTCCTCCTCCCTCGCTGGAGTCAGCCGGCTTTTTAAAATGCCCGCGACAGCATCCGGACGTGATGACGTCCCACGCCAAGTACACCGGCTCCTCCTCCTTCCCCCTTTGCCAGCTCCCGGTCAACAGGGGATTCCTGGCGCCGTCGCTCAGCTGGGCGGCGGCGGCTGAGCACGTGCCGCATGTCGCCCCCGGGTCTCGAGTCGCCCCGAAGAAGGTCAGGGTGACTGCTGGTTTAGTGCGGGGCGGGGCCGACCCGGGGGGCGCCGACCCGCTCCGTCACAATCTTTAATGGTTAAAATGATTTTTAACTGTGTATACTAAGGAGGTGGTGGTCCTTGTAAAACACACCCCAACCAGTTAACACCTGGTTGGCCCATTTATTTAATCTAAATTAATACAACATAGTGGCAGTGTCTGGACCTGGGACTCAGATGACCTGGAGTCTGTTCCCATCTCTACCCCTTGCTTGCTATGTGACCGTGGACCACTTAATTTAGGCCAAATTTTTCAATAGTAGCCTCTAATTTTGGAGTCTTCAATGTTTGGGTCCTCAACCTAAGACTACTGGAGAGAAGTCCTGACTCACTGAATCAACAAGAGTTTTCTGACTGACTTCAGTGGTGCCAGGATTTCACCCCATCATTTTAGAAGTGCTCTACTCCACAGGTGCCCACAGCTCAAAAGGATTTCAGCTTGAATTGTCAAAGCTTAGTACCTTTGAAAATCAGGCCCTAAGGATCTCGAATTGGACACCCAAAAACTGAGTGCTAGAGACCACTGTTGAAAATCTTGGCCTTTATCCTTCCCTCCCCACTGTGCTGCAATTATCCCATCAGTAAAACGGGGATGATATAACACTCACTTGCCCCTGTACTTTGAGATCCGTCAGTGAAGTAATGCCTTAGAATGGCAAAGTATCATTAGTAAAGAGGCTCTCAAGTTTTCAGGTGACCTTGTGCAGCACCTGCTCTGTGTTGATTTACGAAGGTGATGGATGAGATTACAGCCCAGGAGAAGAACATTGCAGCCTTAAAGAAAGCTATCATCGATAAAGAAGGCCCCGCCAAGGTGGCTCAGACACGCTTGGAGACGCGGACCCATCGTCCCAATGTGGAGCTGTGTCATGATATGGTGCAGTACAGGCTGATCAGCGAGGTTCAGGAGATCACAACCAATATTCAGAGGTAAGGTCACTGCACAAATAGAACCTGCCAAAGAAGTAATAAATACACACACATACACAGACAGACATGTTTGCACACAGATACCACATGTGCTTTCATTAAGCTATAGATCTTTTTTTCTCTATATGAAGTTGTGGGATACCAGAACCCTTTCGAAGGAAATGTCTTCAAAACTATGCAGTGCCTAGTCTGTATGAGCTCATTTGAGTCCAGCTAGTGAGGGTAACAATTGCAGTGTTTTCTCGACGAAAAGTGGTGGATTTTTTTTTTAAGGCAACCCTAAGGGTTCAGTGGCCAAATAAAATTGGGAAACTCTACACTAGTCTGTTCTGAAACTTGGGCCATTCTCTCTTCATGGCTGTCGAATAGTAATAGAAATGTAGCCGTGTTAGTCTGGTGTAGCTGAAACAAAATACAGGACTATGTAGCACTTTAAAGACTAACAAGATGGTGTATTAGATGATGAGCTTTCGTGGGCCAGACCCACTTCCTCAGATCAAATAGTGGAAGAAAATTGTCACAACCATATATACCAAAGGATACAATTAAAAAAAAAAAGTGAACACATATGAAAAGGACAAATCACATTTCAGAACAGAAGGGGGATGCGGGGGAGGGTGGAGGAAGGAAGGTAAATATCTGTGAGCTAATGGCATTAGAGGTGATAATTGGGGAAGCTATCTTTGTAATGGGTAAGATAGTTAGTGTCTTTGTTGAGACTGACATGTAGAGTGTCGAATTTTAGCATGAATGACAGTTCAGAGGATTCCCTTTCAAGTGCAGATTTAAAAGGCTTCTGAAGCAGGATGCAGGTAATTAAGTCGTTGAGACAGTGTCCTTTCTGGTTGAAATGGCAAGAAACTGTTTTTTCTTTGATCCTGTCTAATATCTGTTTTGTGGGCATTGATCCTTTGGCGAAGTGTCTGAGACATTTGTCCAATGTACATAGCAGACGGACACTTTTGGCACATGATAGCATAAATTATATTTCTGGATGCGCAGGAATATGTGTTCTTGATCTTAAAACTCACTTGGTTAGGCCCAATAATGGTATCAGCAGAGTGAATATGTGGACAAAGCTGGCAACGGGGTTTGTTGCAAGGGAAGGTACCAGGGTTGGTATTAGTGTGGTATGTCTTGTGGTAGTTGGTAAGAATCATCTTGAGGTTAGATGGTTGTCTATAGGAGACTATGGGTCTGTCTCCCAGAGCCTCTTGGAGTTTAGTATCCTGTTCCAGTATAGGTTGTAGTTTATTGATGTGTTGGACAGGTTTAAGTTGGGGGCTGTAGGTGATGACAAGTGGTGTTCTATTGTTGGTTTTCTTGGGTCTGTCTTGAAGTAGATGGTTTCTAGGTATTCGTTTGGCTCTTTCAATTTGCTTTTTTATTTCTCCGGGTGGGTAGTTGAGGTTTATAAATGCTTGGTAGAGATCCTGAAGTTTCTGGTCTCTGTCAGTGGGATTAGCGCATCTGCTGACAGGATCAAAGAAAAAACAGTTTCTTGCCATTTCAACCAGAAAGGACACTGTCTCAACGACTTAATTACCTGCATCCTGCTTCAGAAGCCTTTTAAATCTGCACTTGAAAGGGAATCCTCTGAACTGTCATTCATGCTAAAATTCGACACTCTACATGTCAGTCTCAACAAAGACACTAACTATCTTACCCATTACAAAGATAGCTTCCCCAATTATCACCTCTAATGCCATTAGCTCACAGATATTTACCTTCCTTCCTCCACCCTCCCCCGCATCCCCCTTCTGTTCTGAAATGTGATTTGTCCTTTTCATATGTGTTCACTTTTTTTTTTTAATTGTATCCTTTGGTATATATGGTTGTGACAATTTTCTTCCACTATTTGATCTGAGGAAGTGGGTCTGGCCCACGAAAGCTCATCATCTTATAAACCATCTTGTTAGTCTTTAAAGTGCTACATAGTCCTGTATTTTGTTTCATGGCTGTCATTACTTTTGTTACCTGGATTCAAACTAGCTTGGGCAGAGTAGCCTGTACACAGCTAAGCTGTGTAGACACCCTTTGTTCATGTTGTTTTCCCTGAGGGTGCATCTACCATAAGTCAAAATAAGCTTATTTCAAATCAATTTTGAAATAGCTTATTTTGCAATTTGGCACTGTTTACACAGCGTTAAATTTCGAAATAACACACTATTCTGAAATGTCCCTTACTCCTTGGGGAATGAAACAACAGTTTTACCCCCATTAGCTCTAATTATTAGTTTAGTTTGAAAAGACATGATGGCAATGCCTGGGGCATCCAGCCATGGCTTTGATGTTATTGTCAAGAAAAAATATTTTGTTTTAATTGTTTTGTGGTCCTTTAATTATATCATTTTCCACCTGTATCTGCTTGAAAACAACTATCGGAGCGTGATACAAAGAGAGGGACATGGCACTTCTTGGATCTGATGAGGAAGGGACCCTTAGCCTACAGACTTTTTCTTTCCCACATGGAAGAGGGGCTCAGCCACTTGTGTGGAGTTGTCTCGTAGGCTCTGTGGAGAGCCTTCTGCTGATGTGACAATCTGTTTGGGGGGGATGAAGGAAGGAAGAGCTGGCAGGTCAGAGGCAGGGTTGTTATGGGAGTTGGGGGTTTTGTGGCATCCCCCTGTACCCAGCAGAGGAGAAAGTAATGGAACTAGGAACTATATTATTTTGCCATTTGAGACCCCTTTTAAAGAAGAAGAGGGCAAGGGCTCCAGGGCAACCATGGCCAGGAAAAGTCCTGGATAGTGTGACTCTGAAAGAGCTGTATTGCTGGAGAACAAAGGGGGACATAGAAGGCCAAACACTTGGAGCCAAAGGACCTCCATGTAGGAGGCCACGAGACCTGCAGGATATGGAGGCATCTGTTTTGCAGGCATGCTCCCCTCCCCCCAGTGGAACGATGTGAGGAAACACAGAGATTTCCTCCCCGCACATCCCATCCCCTGGGTTTTACATTGTGAGGAAGTGATGCAAGAAGGTGCTTGTAGTCAAAGCTACTGTTTCTCTGTGTTTTCCCCCGTAGACTAAAGGACACGTTGGCACAAGCTGAGGTGGAGCTGAAAAGTCTGAGCCGGCGACAGCTTTCACTAGAGGAGGAGATCCAGGTCAAGGAGAACACACTGTACATCGATGAAGTGTTGTGCATGCAGATGAGGGAGTCTATTTCCATTAACAATTTCTGAAGCCCGGGTGTGGAAGAGAACATTCCCCCACGTTGGACCAGATTCTGCATGGACATACACCAGGGCAATGCCTGAGTAACTTCACTGAACATTAACGTAACGACTCTTTGTTCACACTAGTGTGACCCAGAGCACAATCTAGCCTAGGTATGTGAATCAATTAAAACAGACCTAAATGCCTCCGCCCAACTGCTTGTCCCCGGAGCTATTGTATGCTTTCTAGTAGACAGTAAAGTTATGGAACAACACGAACAATTCCTTCCTTCTAGTCACTTAGTGTATCTTGGGTGCTGTCAGTTCCACTGTTTTTCATTGACAGTCTTTTGAATTACATAAGCTAGTATGGAAACGCCTACAAAAATTCACTATAAGTTGGACCTCCCTGGTCCAGCACCCTCAGGACCTGACGGGACCTGGAGAAAGGAATTTGCTGGACCGGGGAGGTCCTTTGCCTCGGCCCCTCAGCATGCAGCCTCTGCCACCAGCTCATTACTTCCCAAATGGGCTGCTGATGGTCCCCTGCCTCTGCCCCACTCTGGCCTTGCTGCCTGCTGGGCTGCTGTGGCCCTAGCCCCGTTTCCAGGCATCAGGTGGCTCGGGCCCTGCTACTGCGGCCCTGGTTCTGATGCCGGGCTGCCACAGTCCTGACCAGGCTTTTCCTGCTCGGTTGCTGTGGCCCTGGGCCCACACTGCCCAAATGACCTGTAGCCCTGACCCTCAGCCCCTCTACCAGGTGGCACGCAGCCTCTATAGGGCTATAGTGGCCCTGGCCAGGCATCTTCTGCTGGGATGCACTGGTCCCACTGCTGATTGGGCTGCTATGGCTCCAGCCCCACTACTACCAGCCCTCAGGACTCCCAGCTGCTGGCCCTCCTGCCCCGGGGCACTCTCGCCCAAGAACATCCATGGTCCTTCCGGGCTACATATGTTGCCAGACTAGAGAGTCCTGGTTAAGGGAGGTGTAACCTGTAAAGCGACGAGGAGTCCTGTGGCACCTTATACGGCTACCCCTCTGATACGTGTAACCTGTAGTTATGTTTAAGAGACAGGAAGCTAGCAGCAGTGTTAGGTAGGGCCACGGGTGGTGAGGTCCCTGGTCCATCGAATGTACTTCAACCAAATGTAAGAATTGCTGGTAGAAGCAGTGTTACCTGTTGGATAGAGCACTGGACTAGGACTCCGCAAACCACACTTCTATTTCTAGTGCTGTCAGTGGCATACTGGCTGACCTGGGGTTAGTCCCATCCCTGCTCTGTACCTCAGTTTCCCCGTCTCTAAAATGAGGATAAAGATCTCTGTAAAGCACACTGAGCGCTACTCATTAAAAGCATTACATGAGAGCGAGGTGTTATTGTAGATGTGATTGTCCAGGCAAAATGATATTCTCTGCTTTCTTTGGTTCCATTGCAAAGACAAGACAAAATAACAGCAAGGAGCTGCAACAGCCAGAGTGTTAATATGTGGAGTGGGCCTCTAAGATTGCTCATTACAAGTATGGTTTCCTTTTCAGCGGCTTTCTCTTTCACGGATATTGCTAATACCATTAGCTTCCCCATAGACTTCCTCAAAGAACCAGATCAGACATTTCCTAGTGTGACTGGGTTTTATTTTAACTCCTGGCTCATCACACACTGCTCACACCATCGGGTAAGCGATGACAAAATAATTAAGCTCTGAGTCGATCAGGTTTCTGAACTTCTTGTAAATGTCCCGCAGCAGTCGGTCCTCTTCACTGGTCTCGTGCCTGGTGGTGTAAATCCTCACCTGTGTGGATGAACAGCAGTCACAGACACACAAAGCAACCTTTGCAGGTGAAGCCCTGTGGGCTGTTCAGACTACTAAATAAGCCAGCCAGCTAATAAAGGGGGACAAATCCTGAAGTCCTTACTCGGGCCATATCTTCACAAAACAGAAGGACTATGCTGCTGTAATCGATCTTCTGCAGTTCAATTTAGCGAGTCTAGTTAAGACTCGCTAAATCAAACTCAGGTCGCCTTCACCAGCGGCTGGTACTCCTGTTTGCTCCCATTGGCCTCCCACTGTGGGGATGGTGGGAAAACTCGAAACAAGGTATGTCACCTCTAGCTACATAATTAACATACCTGGACTTGCGTATCTTGATTCAATGTTCTCTTTTAGGGTAGACCTGGCCTTAGTATTTGCTCAGACAAGATTCCCAGGGTCGTCATTGAGAATTGAGTGAAAAGCGATGCTTAAACCTAGGTTCCCCTGTCTTTTGGGATTTCAATGGCAGAATATCAATGTTATAGTGGACCACAAGCTAAATATGAGTCAAGAGTGTGATGCTGTTGTAAAAAAAGCAAACATGATTCTGGGATGCATTAACAGGAGTATAGTGAACAAGACCTGAGAAGTCATTCTTCTGCTCTTCTCTGTGCTGGTTAGGCCTCAGTTGGAGTATTGTGTCCAGTTTTGGGTACCACATTTCAAGAAAGATGTGGAGAAATTGGAGAAGGTCCAGAGAAGAGCAACAAGAATGATTAAAGGTCTAGAGAACATGAGCGATGAGGGAAGACTGAAAGAATTGGGCTTGTTTAGTTTGGAAAGGAGAAGACCTAGAGGGGACACGATAGCAGTTTTTAGGTATCTAAAAGGGTGTTACGAGGAGGAGAGAGAAAAACTGTTCCCCTTGGCCTCTGGGGATAGGACAAGAAGCAATGGGCTTAAACTACAAAAAAGGAGGTTTAGATTGGACATTAGAAAACACTTCCTAACTGTCAGGGTGATTAAACACTGGAATAAGTTGCCTAGGGAGGTTGTGGAATCTCCATCTCTGGAGATATTTAAGAGCAAGTTAGATAGACATCTATCAGGATGGTCTAGACCAGGGCTACTCAACCCAAGGCCACATGCAGCCCACGGCCAGTTTATTGGTGGCCCATGGGAGAGAGCTAAAACAAAAAAGTAGTCAATATATTGGTCTTCTGTTGAGATGCATTTTAGTAGTTAAATTCCTTGACTGTCACTGCTCATTGAAAGTGCTGCCATATGGGTGGAAATCAGGTAACTATTGCATTTATTAATATCAGCAGAATTGATTTAAACGGGGTCTGTGTGTTGTGTAGTCTTGCCTTAATCTTTGAATTCATGCCTGTCAGAGTGAAATAAGCTATTTGCATATATTTGCATATATAGTTGCATGTATATGCAACTACACTTAGGTTGTGGCCCTCGGCATGTGCTGTGAGTATCATTGTGGCCCCCAAGGCTTCCAAAGTTGAGTAGCACTGGTCTAGATGGTACTGGGTCCTCCTGTGACAGCAGGGACTGGACTTGATGACCTCTCGAGGTCCCTTCCAGTTCTAATGTTCTATGATTCTATGAATATCTGGGGGAAAAGTGCCTTGTTCTCTGCCCCAGAACCCCTTCATTGCCAGAATCTGAGCAGCTCTTGGGATATCTGCTGGAGGCACAGGACTTTGGGTTTTGCTAGCTCCTTGCAGGATGGTTTCTCCTGGTTGCAACCGTCCCTGCCCATGATTCAGGAGAGCTTTCCTATTCAGCGTAGATTATAAGCCCATGTGTTAGTCTCACTAAAGTCAATTTAAGACATGTTTAAATGTTTTTTTTGAATAGGAGTCTTCTTTATAGGGGTCTCCCCAGCACAGAGGGGGATTCTGGAAGAGGTGACACTGAGGAGGCCACTTCACGGTACCTTTTCTGAGTCTTCTCTGTGGGGCTAATCAAGGCCTGGAAGACCTGTCTCTGCAAGTGGAATTTGGAAATACACATAGGATCCTTATACTGCCTCCCAACTCCTTTCCCTGCATGCTAATGGTAACTTCCAAACCACAATCAGAGGTGCAGCTGCATTAGTGTGTCCATAACCTACATTTTGACAGGGTAGAAGGTGGGCGATTTGGAAAGAGATTTTTTTTACCTTCATGGTACACAAGACGCATTTCCCTTCTGCCCGATTTTGCAGCAGCCTCTCCACAAACGCCACACTGAGGAAGGCCCAGACTTTGAGGAAGAATAGCTTCTCACACGATAACACGAGCTGCAGCAGCTCCTCATCCAACAGTTCATGGTCATTGTTGAACTCTAGTGTTAGTTTCTTGAAAATAAAGGACAGTGTAAATTTCTGTACTGGTAGGCAGGACGGTTATATATAGGATTCATCTCTTGTGAAAGCTGCCCTGTGATTTCCTGGGTCAGGGTTTCACTTTTACACCAACCGTTTGGTACTACGCCCACACAGCCATGGTGAGATTAGTGACAAAACAGTAACATGTTGCTGTCTCACCATACCTGCAGAATGGACTTGTAGGCTGGTAAGAGATTGGTGAGAGTCGGCCTCATTGACCAATCTGGGTCACTGAAATAGCAGCTCCGTAGACTGATGCTCCTGAGCGGGATCTCTGCTAAGAGTATTCTGGCTAGACTGTTGTGCTTCATGACTCTTTCAAAGAAGAAGTTCACTTTCAGGTTGGGTGCCCTCTTGGCTAGGTTGGCCCAGGACATCCCCCAAATCACCTGCCCGTGGGGGTCATGGATGTGGCACTTGATGTTCATTGTCCAGAGAGAATGGGCGTTGTGCTCACACAGGATGTCCAGCAATTCATCGGAGATGCAGTTGTAATTAAGAGTCAGGATGACCAGGTTGCGGAATGTGGATATAGTCTGGAGGAACAAGGGGCTGCTGTAGATAGAAAGATGGTGGCTGAAGAAGTCTTCTATGTTGATTTCAGAGGCAAAACTTTTGTTTCTCAAGTAGCTCAAAGAGTTCAAAAGCTCACAGCCTTCTTCCAGCGTCACTCTGGCTCCTTTCAGGTTGAGATAATCAAGGTGCTTGCCCGTTCTTTTCAGGAAAGTACTTAAGTTCTTGATAAACTGACTCCGGATCCCATTTTTCCAGACCAATCGGTCTAATTCCAAGTGCTGAATAATCAGGGACACCAGACGGCTGTTACATTTTCCCAAGCGTGAGAGAAGCCCCCTCATAGTCACTTGAAATTTTCGGGTCAAGACAGCATTGTAAGGATTCAGGAACTTGATCTCTAGCTGTTCCAAGTACTTGCCGAATCTCTTGACGTACCACAGCGCAGATTCAAACTCGGATGTGTTTGACCTGGACGGCCGCCCACTGAAGGTGATGGTTCTGGTTCTCCAGAGAGAGCCTGAGTACATGGCTTGATTCCATCTCTTGCAGACTAAAGCCGCTTGAGATCTGTCCCTGTCGTCTAGCCACCAGAACATGTTGCTCAGGCAGATGTCGGGCAAGTAGGCCCAGCAACTCTGCTCAGGTTCTTTGTCATCCTCCATGAAAGAGACAGTCAGTTGCTGTGGGGTGCAGAATCAAACCTGGACGGACTCGAGATTGGGAAGGCTCTGGCTAGTTAGTTTGCTAGAAAGAGACTGGTCCAAGTGAATAGCAAAAATCCTGCCTCTTTACATCCAAACGCTGGTGACCACATGAGCTCTTGGGTCTAAACTGTGATCTCACCAAAAGAGAAAATAAGCAGAATACTGTTATACAAAAGGCTGCCTTCAAGTGGGTCTATGATCCCAGAACAGTGGCAGACTGGGTTACAACAATGACTATGCTAAGCACCCTGCTTTCAGGTTCAGACTGATTAAACGCCTTCAAGTAGTGATAGCTGGAGACATCAGAGGGCATGAAGACTGAGTAAAGCTAGATCATGTGGGTTGAAAGGCTGCCTTCACTGGCAACGGAAGGGGCTAGTAGAGCCCAGAAAGGGCACTGGGCTAAGGAGGGGCCCCCACAAAAAGATCTCTGGGTAGCCAAAAGTGCAGATCCTTTTATGAGGGTTAGCCTGGGGCCTGGGGCTGCAGGAAAAAGTCCCTGTGCATTCTCCAGCTTGTCTGGTGGTGGGAGGCAGAGATGGATCCCACTGGGTGGGAGCGGCGTCGCCAGGGAAAGCTGTCCCCATGCTGTCCTCACCTGCAGGTTTCATCCCTCCAGTTCCCTTTGCTGGGAACCCCAGCCAATGGCAGCTGCGGGGAGCCGTGCCTGTTGGCACTGCCCTGCACTCGCCTGAGTTGTCCAGGTCATAGGATGAATTGGGATGGCCGCCCCAGGCCCTGCACTTTTGGGAGCCTTGTGACAGCTGCCCCAATCATCCTATGAACAAGAGGGACCTGGAAGATTATGGGGGGGAGCCTGATGCAGCAGCAGCAAGGGTCAGCCGCCCCCCCACTCCATGACAGTGGGAAGTGGAGCACCTTGGCCATGGGGTGCTCTGCTTTCTGATGCCGTGGAGAAGTTGGGGTGCAGGAAGGAGCAAAGCTGGCTGCCAGGCTGCTCCAGCTTCTACTGCCTGCATGCTGATTGGGGGCCCCTGCTGCTGTTGCCCCAGGCCCCCATAATTCCCCTAGGCCATGTTGCTTGGGGGAGGGGACAAAAAGGTGGAGTGGGGGCAGAGCTTGGGGAAGAGGTGGAGTGGGTGGGACTTGCAAGGGTGCGGGGTTGCCCCAAGCCCTGCACCCCCCCTCTGGAAAACCCTGGGAAGTGCAGCCTGCAATGAGCCACATTTCCCAGGTAAGCACCCTATATGTCCTATCCCAGCCCTGAGTCCATCCTCACATCCTAACTCCCTCTGGGATCGCACACCCCAACCCTGAGCCCAATCCACCACCCTAGCTGCTGCCTGGACTCTGCACCCACACCCCAATTTCCTGTCCTGCACTCACACCCCTTGGCCCCAGCCTGGAGCCCCCTCCTGCAACCTAAATGCCTCAACCTCAGTCCCCTCCAAAGCTCACAGCCCCCTCCCAAACCCAGCCTCCTGCTTCAACCCGCACTCCCCTCCTGTACTCTGTACCACTCAGCTTTGGCCCCATCCTGGAGCCTAGGGGACCCACCCAATAGCTCAGGGCCCCCGGCAGAGTTAATCTGGCTCTGTCTAGGGTATTGTTTTGCAAGGTGTGTGCACACAAATATTAAAAGAAGCCAGCAGAATTAGTTGTGAGAGTGATCCTGAAGGCTGAGTCTTCATTAGGGAAAAAGGAACGTGAACTTGAATTAACTAACTCAAAGTAAACACCTTGGGAAGACAAGGCAGTTCATAATTTCCATGAGTTAGCGGTTCCAGTTAAAAACTCCCTGCTTGCTTATGTGAAAATGACAACTGCCTCATTTTCTAGGATTTACTTCATGTGAGCTAATTCATGTTCAGAATAGACCTTATTTTTCCCCAGCAAAAACGAGGCCCGAGCGGATCAGACAGAACTGCTGAGCAAAGAACTTACTGGAGTGGCAGTCCTCGAGATTTCTGAGCAAGGAAACTGTCTACTGTTTGTTTCTACAGATTGAACTTCTCTAGTCCGGCACCTTTGGGAGTTGACCAGAGCCAAGCCAGAAAATTTGCCAAACCAAGGGAGGTTGATATTGTCTAGTGGCATTACCAACACTTCCACTGCCTACTGGGCTCTGAGAAGACATCTGGGGTAAATTAGAGCTAAGTAACAGCACAGCAGGACTGGCAGCTGTAAACAAACTTTATGGCACTGCAGAAAATTACCACACCCATGACGAGTGGACATTTGGCTAACTAAAATCATGCCAGACTATGGATGTCGCCAAACCAGAGTGACTGACTAGAATACAACCTAGTACAACTTGTACTTTCCAAAAGCTTTGCAAATGGGTCTGGCGAAACCACATGTCCAGGGAGCTAAGAAACTAAACATGAAGCTTTTCAGTGATCTAATTTTTCAGTCCATTTTAGAAGTTTCATGTTGTCCAATAAATGGGGAGTCAGGAAACCTGATGGAGGGTTGTAAACATGAGACAAATATTGTACATTATTCAAGAGGAATTAGTTACCAGTTCTGATTTCCATGCTAGACTGGTGGGAAGGCATTTATACCCCCAGCACCCTTCCTCCTCTGAGCTGGTCCTGGCAGGGTTTAGTGGGCGCTGAGACATGTCATGTGCCTGCCCTCAGCCTTTATGAGGGAAGAGCAGGTAGCTTCTGTGATGTCGCGGATCCAGCCTGGCTTTATCCTAATACAAACAGGGAGGAAATCAGCTGAGCAGTGTCCTAAGGGGCTGATGTGAAGGCAGGAAGGAGAGAAAGACACGTTGCTTGTGTGCACAGTGCAAACAGCACACAAGGAAGGGGGGAAAGCGGGGGGGGGAGGGGGGCTGGCTGCAGTACATCCTTCCCTTCCCCCAGGAAACCAGGTGATGCCTGAGCTGCAAACAGCAAGGCAAGAAAGTGATGCCTTGCTCCAGCTTTTAACCAAGGGGCTGCAAACCTCATGCACACAATGAAGTTGGTTTCCATTTATGACAAGACAGGTGCTTCCTTCCGAGCTTTTAAAGACTATTCAATGCAAAAAGAAACGTACAGATTAATCTGCATGTATTTGCTCAGTTGTCTGATGCTGATTTTCATGTGCTGGAAGAAGAGGTTAGGTTCTAGTTTCCTACGTCGTTTTCACTCATGCAACGTGTTATGGATCTGATGCATCAGAAGCCAGTGGATTGTCAATATTTTTGCAGTTACTGAATTTGTCTTTTCAGAAAATAGCCCCACAGCACTCAAGCGTTAGGTTCAGTAGCTACACTCATTTTCATCCTTGTGGGAGTGACATTGGAAAGAAAGCTGTTCCCTCTCAAACTCCACTTACAAGTCCCACCCACTCAGGACACCAGTGTAAGATGCCACTCACCGTGCACTGTTTAGATTTTCCAAATATGGTCATCCCTCTTCTTTCCTACATGCTTTAATCAGCAGTGGTGTAAGGAAGGCTGACATTTGAACGTTCAATCTTCAGGTTTAGCACCCCTCTTGAGACGAATGAGAGTCATTCCCAGGTCTTTGGGCTAAGGTCACAAGCCGTCCACAGATTTGCCATTGTGTCAGTTACAGTCGGTACAACTTCTGAAGATTCTCTTTGTAACGAGAGATGCATATTTATATTTACATAAAGGCTTCATTCTGGAGCACAAGCTGGCTGCTCCATTCAGCCCTAGCCCTCTTGGTTTAATTGTTGTACCATCGCATTTTGTTTTACATGTCACCTATATGCGAGAGACTTTAAAACATGACTGCACCAGGGTTCTGCAACCTCACTTTTAACTCTGATGGGCGTGAAGCAAAGTCTGGGCTAAGAGAAGACTGTCCTAGGACTAGAGGCCTTTGAAATCAGATCTGATTTACAGCACAAGTTCCATCTCTTGTTTTTTCATGTCTGTCCTTATGCAATTGCACCCACTAACCAAGAGGGTGGTTAGCAAGAGAATCCAGTTCTGCCTTTAGATGTCAGAGGGAATTGCACACCTGCATCTGAAGATTAAATTTAGCCCAGAGAGAAGGCGTAGAGATTGGTGGCAAGGCTGATCTAGTTATTTATTGCACTTGTCAGCTTTCCATGACTGTAGTTATCTGAGGCCAGATCCCCACTACAGCCAGTGATTGGCTTATGGTACGAAGCTCCAGCCACATAAAAAATTTTGCTGGAGTCAACTTACCTTAAGCTGAGCCTGGTGCCATCATCATAGCAGGTTGATGGGAGAAATGCTCCCTTAAACTTCCCCCCTCACTCCTCATGAGAAGTAGGGAGTTTCAGCACTGATGAGGGCACCCTCAGCATTTGATTTAGAGACTCAGGAGGCTGCTTCTACACTGGCATGATTTTGCGCAAATACTTTTAACGGAAGAGTTTTTCCGTTAAAAGTATTTGCGCAAGAGAGCATCTATACTGGCATGTGCCTTTGCATAAAAGATTTTCTTCTGCGCAAAAGCATCCATGCCAGTGTAGACACGCTCTTGCACAAGAAAGCTCCGATGGCCTTTTTAGCCATCAGGCTTTCTTGCGCAAGAAATTGATGTTACCTGTCTACACTGGCCTCTTGCGCAAGAACACTTGTGCAAGAGGACTTATCCCTGAGCGGGAGTGTCAGAGTATTTGCACAAGAAGCACTGATTTCATACATTAGAAGGTCAGTGTTCTTGTGCAAATACTTGCAGCCATTGTAGACAGGCGGCAAGATTTTTTGCAAAAACAACCCCTTTTGCGCAAAATCTTGCTAATTTAGACACACCCACGAGGTCACTGAGCCTAGCCCCCTGCCCAAAGCAGGACCAATCCCAAAAGGTAAAAGTGGGTCTGAGCTGCTGCTTCCGTCCTACTCCCAAAGCAGTTTGCAGGGGGGAACAGTTTATTTCCTTCTCCTCAGTTGGAAGTAGGAAGCCCCTTTGAAGGCGCTCCTAGGAACAAGGAGACATCAGATTTCATAGGGAAGGGCTTATTTCACTGTCCATGTGTTTTTCACAGCTGTGAAATTGGTAGAACCCTACCAATGAGTCAGGCTCTTGCTGAAATCAGTGGGAATGGCTGATGCTCAGCATCTGACCCTATAGTGCTTATAAATTCCTTGAAGCAAAATATACTCCCCAGTAAGTGACCATCATGCTGCTGTCAGTGGTGAAGGGCTTGTGTGGTGGGAGAAGGAGGGCTGTGAGGAAGCCCAGCAGACCTGCATATAATCTGTCTACTGGTGTGGATCACTATGGGAAGTTAGAGTCCAAGCTGAAAGCCAACACCTTGAAGGTTTCAGTGTAAGCGCTGGGGACCAAGTACTTCTCTGTGGTGTGACTGCACCATCAGCTGTGACACACCAGCATTGCTGAGAGCGCATCGGACCGTGAACCTCCACTCTTGTGACAGGCAGGGCACATAGAACAAGTGAGTCCCTAAGGAGGAAATACATGGTAATGCCCCAAAGGACACAGCTGTCCAGAGCTTCTGGTGAAGTTTGATGATAAACCTCCTTGGCCCAGAATAAATTACAGAGAGTGGTTCTTTATTCTCTGCTAGCCTGAGAAGGATGATGCTTTTATTCGCTATGTATAAAGTTATGTGGTTTAGAATGCCATTACTAGTGCTGAACTGAAGTGTGGGGTCTGGTGGAGCGTCTCTGGTTCCAGTTTTTCCAGTAGTGCCTTACAAAGGCTCCTCTGTAAAACAATCAAAACCCAATGTCACTTTTTTTTTTACATGACTAGGTAAGCCCATGATTTTATGCCCTTAAACTCCCTTTAACTTCACACAGTGGTGTATTTTGTTTCAGTTGTGTGGCATCTTTCATTGCAGAAATATGCTGTCTACAGAGAAAGGCAGTCATTCTGTGATCAGTCTATCTGAGGAGAGAGATATACTGTGCTCTTTCATGGACATTTGTTTTCCCCACCCCACCCTGTCCCACCACAATATAAAACAAGGGTAGTTCTGGTTGAAAATATAAGGTTACATTTTTTGTCTGTTGAAAATACAAAACAAAGCAATGGGAGATTGTCCTGACTAAGGACTGTAGGGTTATGTCCCAGGTCTATATAGTTAGCACCACTGCGACCTGATCTGTGCACAGCTTCTGCACCGGTATAACTGTCAGGAATTATTATCATAACGGCCATACTGGGTCAGACCAAAGATTCACCTAATCCAGTGTCCTGTCTTCCGACAATGGCCAATGCAAGGTGCCCCAGAGAGAATGAACAGATCAAGTGATCCCTCTCCTGTTGTCCATTCCCAGTTTCTGACAAACGGAGGTTAGGGACACCATCCCTGCCTATCCTGGCCATTGATGGACCTATCCTCCATGAAATTATACAGTTCTTTTTTAAACCCTGTTAAAGTCCGGGTCTTCACAACATCCTCTGACAAGGAGTTCCACAGGTTGTGTGCGCATTGTGTGAAGAAATATTCCTTTTGTTTGTTTTAAACCTGCTATTAATTTCATATGGTGACCCCTAGTTCTTGTGTTATGGGAACAAGTAAATAATTTTTCCTTATTTACGTTCTCCACACCAGTCATGATTTTATAGACCTCTATCCTATCCCCCCTTGTTTTCTCTTTTCTAAGCTGAAAAGTCCCAGTCTTTTTAAATATCTCTTCATATGGCAGCTATTCCACACTCCTAATTATTTTTACATAGTTGTACTGGTAAAATCCCTAGTGTGGACACCATTATACCAGTATAAAGGTGCATTACATGTTATGCCCCTTTGCCTATAAAGATAAACTACACTGGCAGAAGCCCCTTTCAAACTGGTATAATTATGCCATTCTTGCGGAGTTGTGCTGTTTTCATTACACCAGCATAATGCAAGTGGTATAACGTGGGTGAGAGTGGCTGCCTGTACAAGCCCTTCATTAAAATGTGATTAGAAAACGGTTGGGTCGGTCTCAAGCTTCCTTTATGCTGTCCTGTGGCTTCCCTCACTACCACCCCCTCCAAGATGCGGCTCCTGCTGGGGCTCAGCTTCCCTCTGCCCCTTTTTTCCCTACTATAGCTTCTGCTTGGGCTCAGGGCATCCCTGGGATCAGCATGGAACTGCACTGGCTAAGGACTCCTCTCCACCCCTGGTGTGACAGTAGGGAGCCCTCAGTTCAGCATCTGGCTGGCCAATAGGAGCATGTGGGCTGGGGGGGACGACAAAAAGAGGGCAGGGAGAAGGCAGCCCTGTTGCTGGTTGACTAAGACAGCAGGCAGGGGGAGGAGCTGGACCAGAGGGGAACCACAACAGTCAGGCTGTGTCTACATTGGTGCGATCTTCCTTCTTGTGTGAAAAATATGCAAATGAGGCAAAGCATGGAATATCACTGAGCCTCATTTGCATACATAATGAGTCACCATTTTTACAAAAGAAGCTCTTGTGCCAGTTGCGCCAGAGGGAGCATCTACACTGCCCCTTCTTGTGCAAGAAAAACCCTCTTGCGCAATGCCATTATTCCTGAAAATAATCGGCATAGCAGCATTGCGCAAGAGGGTTTTTCTTGCACAAGAAGGGGCAGTGTAGACAACTCCCTCTGGCACAAGAGCTTCTTTTGTAAAAATGGTGACTCATTATGTATGCAAATGAGGCTCAGTGATATTCCATGCTTTGCCTCATTTGCATATTTTTCACACAAGAAGCCGTGAGTGTAGACGTAGCCTAGATGTCAGGAACGTCCCAAATTCTAGTCTTTCTGCCGCTGCCTAATGTGTACTGTTGGGCAGTTGCGATGCTGTTAGGATTGAAAGTTTTATTCTTTTTGTATTTATCTTAAGCATAGTAATATAGTAGTGATGTAGCAATAATATAGCAATATAAGGCATATATATCTATATTAACATACATTTAATATTTTACAAATTAAGTCCTTTCAGTTGAAGGCTTCTAGTCTTTCTGCCGCTGCCTAATGTGTACTGTTGGGCAGTTGCGATGCTGTTAGGATTGAAAGTTTTATTCTTTTTGTATTTATCTTAAGCATAGTAATATAGTAGTGATGTAGCAATAATATAGCAATATAAGGCATATATATCTATATTAACATACATTTAATATTTTACAAATTAAGTCCTTTCAGTTGAAGGCCTATTTTCTTTGTTCTGAAGTTTAGTAAGTGTGCTAAAGTAGAAAGACAGTCTTCGATATTGTGGCTGGGGTTAGATTTG